CCTTGCCACACTCATTCATTGACCAGGCTTACCATCTGTCGATGACATAAAGGAGATGCAATGTGAGAGTTTGAAGGTCTACATATACCCGTTTTAATTAAAAATTCAAATTCAGTTTTAGCTATTTTTAATTTAATTGGATCAAGACGACGAGGTTTGGAGAAAGGTAGAACTCCCTTTGTTTCAATTCTGTGAACCGTTTGGTGTTGCACTGGCTTAGTGTAATCTGGTTCACAGGTTTTTGAAGGAAAATCATTTAAAATTTTAGAAAGTATATTTTCAATAATTGGTATCTTAAGTGAAAAAATTTCACAGAAACCTGAAGATCCCGAAGTCTTTAATTTAGTTTTGAAATCAATAATTTCTTTGTTTTTAATGTCAACTAATATACCGAATTTTTCTAAAAAATTTGCACTAATCGGAGTTGAAATATCTGCCAAAAAGAAAGGAAATTCAAAATCACGTCTTAAACCCAAATCAATTTTTAAAAGTTTTGTACCGAATGTTTTAATAGAAGAACTATTAGCTGCAGTCAAATTAAGATCTGAATTTCTTTTATATGATTTGAATTTAGAAGAGGGAACCACAGAAACTATCGCACCAGTATCTATTAAAAAGTTTAATTTATTGAATTTATCAAAGATAAAAAGGCGACGAGAAGGTTTAACGCCATTTCCATTATTAGCCACCGTCATAATGGAATGATTTAGTTTAAAGCATTTGTATTTGAATAGTCACTATTTGTATTAAACCTACAAGGTTGAATACATTTATAGGCGTTATTTTTGAAATTTCTGTGGTACCAACAAATGTTTTGATTAGAATTGTCTCTTGATCTAGAAAACCTTCTTGACTTAGAATTACTTCTTTCTCTAAGTTTTAATTCATTAATATCCATAGTAATCTTGTTTAAATTTTGATAAATAGTTGTAGTCAACTCAGTCAAATTTTTAATACATTGTTCAAGAATATTATTATTATTTTCTACACTAGCAATACTTAAAGATTCAGATGTTTGGGGTTTATTAATCAAATCAAATAATTTATCTGCAAGAGAAATAATTTCTTCAGAATTTTGATTACTGCAGGATGTTATATGAATTTGAATTTGTTGCGGTAATTTTCTACTCCACAATTTAAATAAAAGTTCTCTACTAACAATTGATTTTGTACCTGCTAAAGACTTCATATGTCTAAAAAGTTCTGATGGTGACCGATCACCTAGTTCAGTATTTGAAAATAATTGTTCAAGTATCTTTTCTTCGCTAAGAGAAAATCTTTCGCACAAAACCTTCTTGATGGTTTCGTATTTGTTGATTGATGGCGGTGGATTGATATTTAACATCAATAATTTTTGAAATCGTTTCTCGTTGAAGAACAATCTAAATGTTTTGTAATTTGATATTATCATCACATATATTATTAATTTCGAATTGTCCTTCTACAAGCAGAAACCATGCTTCGGGACAATCTTCCCAAAAATGAGGTAATTTAATAGATTTTGAAATATTCGAACTAAAGTTATTTTCATTTTGTGTCAAACTGTTAGAATTTATATTTTGTGTAGTGTTTAAATCTGAGGTGTGAGTTTGATTTTCATTTTGGTTTTCTGTTGTTGAGAAGTTGCGTGTACGTATAGGTGATCGACGCATTTTTAAAATCTAAAGGAGTGTACAAGAGAAATAATTTCAACAATATTAATACCAATAAGAAATACTTAATATTAAGTAATAATGTAATAAGTTTGTTAATATTGTTTTTAATAAATTATTAAAGTCAAAAAATAACGTAATAAATATTAAAAAATGTATATATGTAATTTAGATATTACGTCAACGAAAAACTTAAGATACGAACTTATATTAAAAATATCTTGCAATCTTATCTTTAAAATACAAATTAATACTTAAGTTATATTTAATCTAAAAATATAAACAATACAGCTCACCAAGTCTGAACGAATGAAATTGAACGCTCATTGCTTCAATAAGATGCATATCGTCGTTTAAAAAGCAAAACCGCGTATCAGCAAAATGCAAAACCGCGTATGTGAAGTTGTAGAAATTATTTTCTAGAGCATAAAAACACTCATATTTCAAAATGGTTCTCTTTTTTATAAAGCAATCGCATTTCTGGCTATTATATTTCAGGACGAATGGATAAGGATTGAGCCAAGAGCTTGTGTGAGCAAATCCAATTTTTGGCAGCCAATGTCAGTTACGCGGTTTTGCAGAATGACGATACGCTGTTTTGTACTTTAAACGACGATATGTAGAGGCCAAAATTTAAAAAAAATCTTCATTGGTGTCTTTGAGCTTGTTAGTTTTGCAAACTGCAACTGCTATGGCTATTATTGTTATAGATCCTTGTTGCACTTGTATAGCTTGTGAAAATTTTGATATATTGAAATTGTTGATGTGCGAACTGCTTTTGAAGTTGTTGATGATGTAGTTCTGAAACCTTCTCGCAATTGTTGCACTTATATATATATTTACTCTTAATGATCTTTGGAATTCATGTTATACATGATTGTGGAAAGAAACTTTTGCTTAAGAGATGATTAAATGATGATATGACGTAACTTATTGCAGACATAAATTGTTGTAAACGATGCAATTATTATAACTTGTATAATTATTCGATGAGCAGGATCGCCAATATGTAGAGTTAGAATATGTTATTCCAATTTTTAAATGTTTATTTGAATGAAGAAAATTTTTGAATGAAAGCAAGTTCTCATATTGATATTTTCAACCATAGTCATGAACAAAATTAAATTAAATAAAACAAATAAACAGGTAAATAAAGCTTAAAGTATTAAACCCTACAGATGTCACGCTAAAATTGCTCTCACGAATTCTGCTGCAATCGGCGCAAACTTGTATTCTATCATTCTTGGGCCAGATGTGGGTCGTTGCGGTCACGTAGACTCGGCTGCCGTGGGAACGCAAACGGTTTTGTTTACATTGGTGGTTTCAATGTAACATCCCTCTATATTAGATGTGTACAAGAATGATAGAAAACAAAGATTGCGCCCATCAGAGAGGATTTGTGTGTGACGTCACACTGGTGCATTTGCGAGAGAAAGGCGAGCAAGAATGGAAGACGAAATTTTGCAAGAAAACCCGTAAACAAGTTGCACAAGTGTGACGTCATACAAACAGCGATTTTGTCAAATTCACTGAGAGCGGAATAATGGTACCCAGTTGGAGAAGTACTTAATATGAAAGTCCATAACTCTCGGTGCACTGATGACTGGATTGCCTCCCTGGCTTAGTAAAGAAAGACTACATATCCACACCTGAGTGGGAGATCGACTTATCTCGGCAGCCAGTTCAAAAACGTCCTATCTCAGAAAACTTTTCAATACTTTTCAATAATTGAAGAACGCCCATTTTATTAAAAAACCTATCTCAGAATTCGGTTCAAAAACGCCCTATCTCAGCACATTTTCAATGTATTTTCAGCTGGGATAGGGCGTTCTTCAGCCAAATTCCGAGACAGGCCGATCTTCCACTCAGATATCGATATGTATTTATTATTCATATATTTCAATTTTATACACAATTATTCTACCGAAAAAGTCAGTACTTGACGGAAATAGCAATTTCATTTTCGACGCTTCTTTCTTTGTTACAGGCGCCTTCAATAGAAAAGTTTGTGGTGAATTAACATCCTCCGGGTAAAAGGTTTCCTCTACGATTAGTTCTCCATTCCTAGCTTGCACGGAAGCTGATACGGCTTTAGCTGCAAAACCACCTTGAAACTGTATTAAAAATTTGCTTATTGACTGTGGCTCTTCAAAACGGATAACAACCCATTGTGGAATACCCTAGAAGTAGATTACGGTAAATAATTGTTGAGATATACCATAAATATAAATTAGTTTCTCCTGTGTGCGAATTAAACTAAATATGTATGTATTAGTGCCTAAATTAATTTTCCGCCTTGATTTAGAAATTTATTTTAAAATTATTCAAATTATATGAGTTAATTGTTTGTTTGTTTTAATATTCAAATCTTATTTTGTTCTGGGTTCCAAAATCCGTTCCATCATATTCTTTAATCAATCCTGATTTCTTGATTCCAAAGTTACTATAGAATACCAACCGTTTAGCTATTATAGAACAAAAAAAAAACATCCTTTTTGTTATTTATGCTCTTTATAACCATTATATTAAACAATTTTATTGAGCCTGATATGGTGCGGAAAAGCAACAATAATTTACGTATACATAGATAGAAGCTATAGCTGCTATTTCGGTGTGCTCGTCCTTTTAGTTATTTAGTTTTAATTACACAGTGATACAAAAGTTAACAAAAAAATATGCAAGGGTTCTCATATAGAAAATATGTTTTGTTATAGCCCATAGGACACGACTATACTTATAGTTTTCTCCATCACTTCGTTTATTAGTTTTTTACTAACAAATAAATTAAATCTTTAGTATTCTTCAAGTTACAACTTCAAGAAGGTATAACTTTGTCGTTTTTGGTCGAATTTAAAATGTTTTACCTCTCTAACAAAGAAAAAATTTTGAAAATCGCCCGGAGAAAGGCTTAAATTGTTTATAATGACTTTTGCTAAAATTTAAAATCAAAAGTTATCAAAACAAATTCTATGGGACTGAGAATTATTATTTTCTACTTTTTAGTCCATTTATAAAAGCATTGTATATTAAAAAGAATTATTATTTTCTACTTTTTAGTCCATTTATAAAAGCGTTGTATATTAAAAAGTTTTTTTTTTATTATTTATTTTCTACTTCTTAGTCTTGTCTGTATAAAATTTTGCAATAGATATTAAAATATTTATTTTCTACTTTTTAGTCAGTTATACAGACAAAAATTTTGCAATAT